CCATCAGCGATAACTAAAGCCTCATTAAAAGGTTTTTTTTGGAGTTGGAGCTCCGTCACACACACTCGTAATTTATTACACACTTACATATACAACTGCACGCCTGCGCTCCACTAACCAGCACATTATTTGATCTTCTTCTCCTCCTGATTAATGGGATCTCCTCCTTCAACTGATAAGGACTCCGAACCGGGCCTTCTATCTTTCTCCTTCATGTTCTCCTCTGGTTTTTTTTTTTGGGTTTTTTAATCTGTTCTCTCATGGTTTCTCTCTCATGCTCTCTCTGTCTTTTCATTTGCCTTTTTTCGTCCCCTCTTCGTTTTACCGACCGCTCATGCAGATCACGGATGCCATCACGATTTGTACCCTTAAATTTCCCCCCTATCGTTTTTTGTGATGGATGACTGCTGCACGCACAAATATTCTCTCTCTCTCTCACACACACACACACACACAAACCGACAAAGACACACTTGCGTATCCATTAATCTGTCCTTCAATGGGGGAATGAGATAGTTTGATGATCAAACAACTGTTAGCCAGCAGCTACTTAGAAATGCATTACACAGTTGTGGTCATTTCCTCTTAACTGCACACACACAGTCACGTCTCCATGACTTCAGAGGACATTACATAGACTTGAGGTAATTACCTGGAGAATAACTCTCACCTTAACACATAATCCACACGTGCATGAGGCAGGATTCGATGGATTTAAACCAAAAGTCAGGAGAGACGAGGCAAGTTTCTGAGCGCTCTGTGTAAACTAACCTTAGAAAGTGTCTTCTCCTGAAACTGTGATGAGATTAACATCTTTGTCACCCTGAAACAAAAAGATCTGAACCGTTCAAAAAAAGATAAATGTTGCTGCAAAAATCTGCCAGTGAACATGAGTTCATGAATTCTAGTGTTTTTATTCTTTATCAAACAGAACGAGGTTGATTTCTTATCCACAGTCTGATTTATTCATGAATAGAATTATTCAATCACCAACGTCACATTCTGCACAAGTCAACTTGAACCAATGACTCTTGTGGTGCTAAACAGCCTCAGCACAGCAGAGAGGATGCATTCACCTTCTCCGCACAGATTTTTATCAAGTGCATTAAAATCAAGGGCTGGAACAATTAAGGGCCTCAAACAGCCACTCATGGCTCCATAAGGCATCGGACAGCAGGGTCACTGTGTATCCGGAATACTAATTTAAAACCTCTCACACACAAACACACACAATAAGCATCAGACCATCTCAGTGTCAAGGAGCCACATGACAATCAGAGGAACTGTCAAGAGTTTTTAATCTCACACACACACACACCTGCATTAACACACAAGCTAGCGTCCGTCCTACACATGGCTTTGCACTACATCTTTCTCTCTCACACACACGAAGCACTAAAGTCTCTTAAACTCTTCTAGTAAAGACATCAGCTTCCGTCATTCACAATATCTGTGCTTCAGTCCTCTGTGTGTTTCTTCTCTCTGCATGTTCACCACATGTGATTATTCAGTCTCATTCAACCCCTCAGGTACAGACATGAGCGGCGGCTCTCCTCTGGATTCCCACAGATTTTGGATCCATGCAGTCTGCAGGGATTCAGAGCATTAGCGAGATCAGCCACTGATGTCCTGTGATAAGGTTTGGCTCGCTGTCGGTGTGCCTCTGCATCCCAGACATGTTGGACGGGGCTGGGTTCTTCCACAGCGAAATGAGAAACGGACACAGGGGATGTTTATGTTTTACCACGAAGTGGGAAGGTCTCTGCTGTCCGACATTTTACTGCTGAAGCATTAAGATTCCACTTTGCTGGGAATAAACAAATGAAGGGGAACTAATGTACCTCTTGAACAGTAGTGTCCAAAGATTGACCTGCACATCCAGCAGCATCGCAGCAGGGTAGGACGTGCTGGCGATTTCCTGGGGCCCCAAGTTGAGAGAGGGCCCCCGATAACACAGTTTTACTTTGGTGAGAACCCCCTTAAATTCTGTCATCGGCTTCTTTACTTCATCATACTATTAAATAACTTTACAACATACATTTTGCGAGAGGGTTGTTTTGGTTTATTTTTCCCAGGGTCCTCAAAGTCCAGTGAAACATCCCTGTACAAATCACAATGTCCCGTCCTGTCCACAGATAATAACTGGTACTGTTTAAGTTTAAATGGGTTTTACTCTGGTTTTAAATAAATGCTTCACACTCACAAGTTTTTTTTCTGCTGCGACAAATCACAGCAATTCACGGCTCAGAAAAACTTGTGAAAGCTATTTCTAAAACACATTTCCACATGGATTTTTGAATCATATTCCAGGTGTTTAACATACATTTGCTGCATTTTTTTTTTTTTTTTTACAGTCAAATATTGATTATATCAGCACATTATCACCATACTTTTAAAACACAAAACATCTATTCTGGTCATCTGACTTCAGCACTCCTCTAAATTCAGCTCCATGCACACATGACCTATTGAAACACACAGTGTCCAGATTATTAATGTAGAGGAAGAAAGTCTCATCCACTGTTAACACACACACACACACACACAAACACACACACACAAACACAAAACTCTCTCTCTGACACACACACACACA